ACAACATTGATGTGAAATTAGTTTTCTCTTGGGCTCCCAAACTAGCTAAAATGTGAGAGTAAACATTGGTTTTCCTGTGGTGCGGACGGACGGTCGGTCGGCGGTCAGCGGTCGGCGGTCGGTGTACGGTCACGTGATTACCAAATTTTCTGGGATGGGTAGATTTACTTAGCAATGGGGCTCCGCCCACGCGCGCGCTTCGCGCGCGCGTGGAGCTCCGCTATAAGTTACCTTCAATGAGACTTTTACATTTCTGTCATCTTTGCCAGTAATACTTTAAATATGGCTCATGTTGTTCGCCTCCAGATGTTGTCAAGTACAAGTTCAGTGTAACAATAATTTGATGTCCCAAATTTATTCCATGTACGCGCTTACGATGTGTTTACAACTGAGCTTACGAAACAAATCGCTATTATCATTGCTTAGTATCAGTGGCAGTTGTAAATTTGCTGCCGTGACAATTGTCTAGTCGTAATCTAGTCTGGAGAATAATTCACCAAGTCCGTTTCACTGTCGTGTTTGATACTGGTTATAGCTTTGTTATGATCACTTCTCACGAGGGAAAATAACAAAAATTTTACTGTAAAGAATTTCGAATTCGACTGTCATGATCTCGCGGTCTCTTTAGTTGTCTCTTGTTCTAGCATATCCACGAACTAGAGGCCTTTTTATCTTTTAAAATCAGCGGTTACATGGAAACATTGAAAAGCAACAACAACACAACAATAGAAATAACAGGAAAACGTAACATCATATTTTGCGTCCAAAAAAATCACTTACATAGATCGAATTTATATTTATTATTTATATTAATGTAAATAAAGCTGTGCATAGTTTTTAAAGTGATAAGTGATTGCAACTTGTTGGATAAATCGTCCAGATATAAATCCGGTGTTCAGGCGAATGTTGGCCCCAGTCTTCTTCATTTGACTTCAAAATTCGTCTGAACACTGGATTTATATCTCCATCTTGCGGAGATAATTTGTTTCTAGTATAAATTCGGCCACTGTATGAGGTGCGTAAAAAAGTTACAAGATTGTTCGATCCAAATTCGTACAAACTAAGCACGGAAAAAGTCATGAGCGCGCGACAAAACTGAGAAGAAAAATGATCAGGTGCGAGCATGCCACGTGGCGTTAAGCTCTTAAAATTCAGAGCTAGGTTAGCTGTACATGTTTTTGTGACCACGACCATGTGCTCATATGCGATTTTATAATGAATCTCAGACTGGAGAAGAACACAAACACCAAATTCTGCGTTAAACATAAGAAATCGGGAACTTTTGAAATGCTGGGCCTACAGATATGAACCAACCCGGTGAGGTGTTCTGAGTGGTACTCGCGCTTCTTGAGTAGAGGAACATCATTAGAGGATGACGAGAGTTCAGGGCGACCATCAACGACAATAACCACTGAAAATGTCTAAGAAATTGCTAGAATTTTGCGTCGCCATCAAAGAAGTTGCTGATATTGTTAACGTGTCAAATGGATTAGTTCAGGCTCTCCACATGATCACGTCCACTTTGAACATGCATTGCCTCTCTAACCAATTCTTGCCCAGGCTCTCACCGCCGAGCAGAGGCGGCACCGTGTTGAAATCTGCGTAGATTTTAACACGCTCAAGGTGAACCAACCTTTATTTGCAGGATGATAACTGGCGATGAGTCTACAGGCGGCTCTAACCTAGAAACATAACAGCAGACCCTACCATCTCCAAGAACACACTGGAGAAGGCAGGGCAGGTCAGGAGCTCGAACAAAACTATGCTCGTCAATTTTTTCGACTTCACGAGTTTGTACACCGTAAAATCGATCCTCAAGGACGCACTATCTGATTTATGCCGAATTTTAGTTTCCCTTCTGTGGCGTCTGAGAAAGGACATTCGGCACAAACGGCCTGAATTGTGGCGCGTAGAATTGGAGTCTTTAACGTAACAACACCTCTGCTTACAGTGTGTTGAAAATGCGGGGTTTACTGTGCTACACCAGCAAGATCGTTGCTCCACAACACATCCCCCCCTTCCCAACTCGCCAGAGAAGTGACTCCCTTCGACTTCCGCCCTCGCAAGATAAAGCTTTTGTTTTCTTTTTTCATTCAGGTAACTGTTCTGAGAAAATGGATATAGCTATCCTGGTTGACACTTCAAAAAGCATGACTGAAACGCAAAGAGGTACTCTAACTACATCGATTGACAGATTGATAGACAAATACCCAGTCTCTGCTAAAGGAAACCATTACGCTTTTGTGACCTTCGACCGTTACGCAAAAATCCGCAACAAGTTTAATAATAGGGGGCGCTATAATAAAACGATCCTTAACGACTTGATAAAAACAAAAGTCCGTATTTCAAAAGGACTAAAATGGGGAACTCGTTCAGATATTGCTTTATACCTGGCAGCGAAAGAGCTGTTTGCTATAGAAGGAGGAGACAGAGCAGATGCAAAAAACATCCTTCTTGTCTTCACGGATGGACTACAGCGTATAGCAAGAAGGGATAAGGTACCCTTCAAAGATTTTTCAAACAGCACAAAAAAACTGGAGGTAAGTCATTATTTTCTTGATTACTATTAAAACCCTAAATATGCCCCTCCGATTTACACAACCCCCTAAATAACCTCTAATAAAAAGCTCCTCCGTGTATAAGCCCCTGACATACGTGAGCCGCTTATAACAGAACTTTTTGCTTTTGAGTGAGTTTACATTACCAGTATATAGCAAGAGGAAACGTTTCTAACATAGTTCATCACAAATACATGCTCAGCAGTTTTTGAAAAGCGAATTTCCTCCTACGCCTCTTTAGGGAGGTAACAATAAAATACGTGTGTGTAGTATGTAAGCCTCTCCATCGAACAGCCCTTCCGATTGCAAGCCACTCGTGTTGCAAAACGTGATTAAAAGGTCCTCGAAATTTCCGCTCATTCATCACTTGCAGCTTTATTCCATAAATTACTTATGTACTTTTATTTAAAAGAATTGTTTTGTGCATTGATCTTTTCCTCCTATCATGTACAACTTTGTATTTTGATTTTTTTGAGTGATCTTTTAGAGGAAGAAAAATAACCGAGAATGAGAGACGACAATAGCAAGAATTGAATCCGAGAAAGAAAGTAATTAACCCAAGTCTGATGTCAAAAAATAATAAAGAGAGCAGAAAACTTTCCGTTAATTTAACATGCTATCATGAACTTCTGTAGAATACTCAATACTACAGTTTTAAGGAATCTACGAATTAAATTAAAATACAGTCCATCTGTCCATCATGTAATTTCAGACAGTTCCTAGTTTTCTCTAATCTAGCCAGAATCCAGAGGCAAACTTCTGTACGGCGATGATCTTCCTACTATTTCTGATAGGATTCTCTTTTTACTTCGTCAAATCCCAAAATCTTGTACTTCATGTGAACGGACAGGCCAGAGTATGTAACTACCCCTGCATTGTTTCAATCAATTAATTTATTTTAGCTGTTGTAATCATTATATATTCCCTTTAGATCTTGATTTCTAACTACCCTCTAATTCACCTTTTATCCCTCCCCCCCCCCCCCCCCCCCCCCCCCCCCCTAACCACAAACAAATATTGAAAAAAAAAAAATTATTTTTTTTTTTTTTATTTTTAATTCACTACAAATTTTAATTTTATTTTTTGTTTTAAAAACAATTAGATTTTTAAATTTTATATTATTAAATTCAAAAAAAAAATAAAGAAAAAAAAAATAATTAACTTCTTTATTTATACATAATTTATGAACAAAAATATAAATGAGCTGTTTCTACGTGTTTTCAAAATCCACATATTTTTTGTTTTAGTGAAAGGGACGGCCCAAGTATTTAAATATCCCTGCATTTTTTTAATCAATTAATTTTTTTTTTCTTTTTTAATTATTTTATATTCCCCTTTGATCCTTATTTCTTACTACCCCCTTATTCCCCTTTTTTCCCTCCCCCCCCCCCCCCGCACCCTAATTCATTGAACCAATGAGAATTTTGGAAAATGAAAATTTTATTTCTTTTTTTCGGAAAAAATGAAAATTCAAAATCAACTAATTCATTTTCAATTTTGCAAAAAATGAAAATGGAAATTTTCAATTCGTTTTTCAATTTAAAAAAAAGAACGAAAATTAAAATTGAACTTCTGGAGCGGAGAATCTGTTTGTTTGCTTCTGACAGGATTTGACCACAGATATAGTTAAGTACTGATTTTCTTTGATCTTTGTTAAAGCCTTAAGCTTTTCATTTCGGCTAAAAAACGTTCCAATAAAGATTTTAGATCCATAGGTTTTTTCCAAGGATCCGATTGGCTTATGCGTGTAGCTTTTTATCCGTGAATCTGATGATTTCCTGTTATGTTTTAACACTACGCTATGCTTGGCCCAGCTCTTTAGTGTTGTTTGCAGGATGTTTAATTAATTCTTTCGGATAGTACGATCTTCAAACCCGAATTGTAGCTTAAGCTGAAGCCGACAACAACTAAGGAGAATTGTGCTGTGAGTCAGTCAAGACAAGTTCATTCTTCATTTTGTTTCTCTTGAGATAAGTAAGTCTTTGGACTGGAGCGCGATGTCCTGTAGTTCCTCTGCTTTAGCTCTTGCATAGTCCCTAATCCTCATTACTCCGCGCGGCCAATTTGTTTGGGGTCACGTGGTCCGAGCAAAAAAATGGGTAAGTTTCCCGCCCGATCGCCTCGGATACGTCACCGTCGGAGTGAATTGGCAAGACTGTGTTTCTGAACTAAAGCGTTCCTCGTCGGTTGCTACTATGGCAAAGTCTTAGTGAAGAGAGGTTCTTCAGCGTTTGTTGGCATAATTTAAATTAATTGTTTAAATATTGGTAGCTGCGATCGAAAATACTCACTTGCCATTGGCTACTAACCAGTAAACAATAGCGTGAGTGTCGCTCTGATCCGGGTTGTGTCGTGCTTCTCCTAATAAGTAATTACTCGATATGCATGGAAGAAAGACCAGAAAGCTTCATGGCCTCTATTAAAAAGGACCCCCTCACTCAGATTTTAGAACACTCCGCGCACTGCTCACTCAAGGGCCACGTTTTACACTATCTTGTAGCTCATGAGTCGTGTTTCATCTGTCAACACTTTATTTCAAAGTTGGCTGTAACTTTTAAAGAGTACTTTGCACGACACCATCAAGCGTCTTGTCGGATACCGGAATTTGCTTCTTGATTCCGTGCTTACTGCAGAAGCTCCTCACACTTCGTAAACTACAGCCTCTTACACCAATTAAGAACATGGTTCTTAATTTCCTCGACAAGATCTTCATAGCTGTTGTTCTTTTCAATTATAGAAGACGCACGACAAATCGTGATTCGAGGATCTTGCTTAAGGCTGTAATCTTTTTCTCATTTGCCGCCTAAAGGATTGAAAAGTTTCTATTCTAATTTTTTTAGGAAATTTAAAAATGAATTAGGTAATTTTGAATGTCTCAGTATGTCTATAACAAACACAATACCGCGTGGAAAGTGCTTTGTACGGTGCATACGCACTCATTTTTGTATTAGAAATCTCCGTCAACAACTCGTACGTAAATACCGTACGCCCGGACTTTCATTAAGTATTCATATATTTCCGTTTCGTAAAGGGCCGTTGTCATTTAACACAGTCGATGCCACCATGGGGAACCAAGCCTTAGTCATGATAGATGTGATATTATATACACTTGTATTCCCAGGATCAAGTTACAAAAAGGCAAATACGTTTTTGAATAGTTTTAGAGATAACGACGTTGCAGCCCAAGTTTAATTGTGTTGTCTGACCTTTTTGAGGGGAAAAACACCTGCTTTCCGTACGAAGATTATTCAACCTGAATGAGATGACCGAGTCCGAGTGTCTGTCAGCGTTTAGATTTGGAAAAAGAGACATTCTGATAAGATAGCTGTTATCATATAAATTTTATTTCCTCTATCACAGTTGATGCCACCATGGGGGAACCAAGCCTTAGGCATGATAGATGTAATATTAGGGTCACCTATTATGCATGTCTATTATTGATGTTTCGGTTTGGAAAGATAGTTTGCTAGTTTATCTACTTAAATGTTTCGGACTTTTGGCGGGTTGGTGTGGTAGTCTAATGGAAAGGAGAGAGAGATTAGGTTACGAAAGATCCGAGTTCGAACCTGGGTTGAGTGTCTTAAAAATAGCAGCTTCCGTTGACGCGACGGAAATGGAGCCGATGTCATGCGCCTTTCATTTACCCTATTCCTCTCCTCAACCAGTTTAGTTTTGAAGTTTTTTCTTTGCTTTTCATTGGTCCTTACTTCCATCCAGAACGAGGATGTAAGCATCGTTGTCGTTGGAATACTCGGCAAACACTGGGAGCAGAAAGAATACAGAAACAAGATGAAAGAAATGGCTGGTAAAAGGGGAAAAGTGCTCAGAGATCCGGATTTTGAAATTCTGACCAAACGCTTTAATGAAGTGTTAGATGCTTTATGTCGTAAGTATTTTTTTTTTCATTAGCAGATTTCTCAAAGACAATGCTACGTCAAATGAGAACGAAGTAGTGCGCAGAAAGGACTGAGCCCGACTTCCGGTGCTGAATTTGTTCCTCTGCCATTGGTCAAATCGGTTTTTAGACCTGCGAACAACATGGTCACTTTTGTCGCGTTATGTTCTCACAAGCGGGAAAGATGAAGCAAAATCTGTGCTCTTTTAGGCCACCCGAGCGGGCAACATAGCCTTTCTTGTCCGTTCGAGGATTCTGGCTTTGTTCCCGCGAAAAAAGTTATCGCACAGAGCATCGAATCAAATACTCTAAATGCTCCTCATAGCAGCATATAACCTACTAACGTAGACGTAGATTTTTGAACACAGTCCTTTTAATTTTTTGCGTGTTTTTCAGCGGTGAATGGAGGTTACAGCAAGTGGACGAGTTCTGAATGTAGTGCGACCTGTGGAGAAGGTGTAAAGACATTGACGAGAACCTGCACTTATCCTCCGCCTTCCAACGGTGGAAAAAACTGTAGTGAACTGGGACAAGCCATGAAGAATGTTTCATGTAATGAACAAGCATGTCGTAAGTTCGAATTTTTGAACTTATTTCCTGGTTATGAGTGCGACATAGAAAGGATGAAGAAATAAACGATAAGTTTCAAATTTTACGATCGTAAAGTTATGCTGAGCACTAATGCCCCACGTAGCAGCACACAACCTACTAACGTAGACGGAGATTTTTAAACAGCGTTCTTTAAATATTTTACCTGTTTTTCTGCGGTGGATGGTGGTTACACCAACTGGACGATTTCTGAATGCAGTGTGTCGTGTGGAGGAGGTGTAAAAATATTGACAAGAAGCTTCACCAATCCTCCACCAGTCAACGGTGGAAAAAACTGCGATGAATTGGGACCAGCAAATATGACAGATTCTTATAATGAACAAGAGTGCCGTAAGTGTTTTACTGTTTGCTTTGGTTCACTCCCGAAATGCAAAGAAGATGGTTGATATTGTTTTAGAACAAAGTCTGGCAAGAATCAAAAATCATATTTTCCTTATCGCGCAGTCTTGGGATGTAAAGCTAAAATTAATGCCTTATCTCTCATGATTTTCGGCACAATTTTGAAAACGATCAAAAAATCATATTTTCCTTATCGCGCAGTCTTGGGGTGTAAAGCTAAAATTAATGCCTTATCTCTCATGATTTTCGGCACAATTTTGAAAACGATCAAAGTTTTTGCTTTTTGTTAGCGCTTATCACTACCAGCATATTATCGATATATTTCTAGTTTTTTTTGTTATTGTCAAGCTCTATCCATGGTTCAGTCTATTCAGTCCTATACCAGGGCTGCGTTGTTATCCGTCTTGTACTGAGCATATCGACCGTTGAGTCGTTCTGTCACCGGTTCCTGCTTTCACGGGAAACAAGATTATGTCAGGCACCATGCAGATAGGAGAGAAAGAACAGCCACTTGATAGGCAGGCCATCTAGCCTGAGTATCAGGCGTTTCTGGGGAAAAGGGGAACTCCCCTGGCCCCGTAGGAAGGCCTGATACTCAGGCTACGGGCCATCCAGATCCCGATTAAACTTTTAAAGATCCGAGCCTGAAGCAAAACAAAGACAAATACAAGACTAGGGGACCGAGGTTAAAAATGCCATTATTACATGATTGCATATAGTTAAGCAAGACGTTGTCAGACTGGGCGTTCTTGTATCAGGCGTATGTTAAGTTTTCATGCGTGTCATGGTTGTGTGAGTTGTGCAGTAGTGTTGGTTGAGATGTCTGAAGTGGAAGATAGGAAGAGCCCTTCTGCTCCTGCGACTTAAAGTTAAATGGTGTTCAGCGAAGTTTCCTTTCTGAGCGGAGTTTTAAAGATTGTATTTGATCAAGCGGCTTTCGCGGTGTTTGCTTATGATAGTTCTCCGCGATTAACTTTGAACGCAAAATCCCTCAAAATCGCTTATTATAATTATTTCCAGGAAAACGACAAAAGTTAGCCGTAGATAATTATAAGGTAATATTACTTTTATTTAGCATTAATCTATGCACATATTTAGCGATATGTTTCTACAGATAAAGCAAACTGTAAATCCAGTGCATGTGAGAGTATAGAGGTCGTTCAGACTCTTAACTATAGCCAAACCCGCCAATTCTAATTATTTCTGAGATATTTATGTAAAAAAAAAAGTCAGAAAAAAATCGCCCGGCATCTAAGGAGGAATTTCCGTAAGCTTTCTCCAAATTGAAGATTATGATTGCCTTAGCAATTCCTTGTAGCAGTTTCTAAAGGACAAAAACGAGCACAATTTTGAGAAGATTTGGGCGTAAAAAATGTATTATTTCACAATAAATGGAGGCCAAATGAATTATTTTTGTAAAATCTGGAAGCCCATTAGCCTCACAGTTCCAAGCAACACTTGGCTGACAATCCATTTTGTAGCCACCATGTTGTTTGTCATACATGTATTTCATGTATAAGTTTAATTTTATTGTAGTTTTATAAGATGTAACTGAAATACTATGAATTCATTTATGATAAATTTTTTTTGTGATTAATTGTCAAAAATGCTCAGTAGTAGTAGTAGTAGGAGTAGTAGAAGTAGTAGTGAATTACATTCCATTTTTTGCAGCACCTCCATGTATTGCCGGACTAGACATTGGGATCGTTTTAGATAAATCTAGAAGCATCGATGAGGAAAACTTAGAAAGAGTTATCGAATTCCTAGCAGACCTGGTAGGAAAGTTCAACCCGGCACCGGACGGGGATCACTTTGGTCTCATCACATTCGACAAGGATGCAAGATTGGTGTTTAACTTCTCTGACTCTGAATACTACAACTTGGACAGTCTTGAGAAAAAAATAGAAAGCGAACCAACAGAAAAAGCCAAATATGTTGGAACTCGCACTGATCTTGCTCTAATTATGGCGCGGGACCAGCTGTTTACTGAGGCGGGAGGAGATAGAAAAAACAGCCCCAACGTAATGTTAGTCCTGACTGATGGACACCCCTATGGCTTGCCGAAACATAGCAATTTTACAGTATTTTCCAAAAATATATTGAAAGATTTCGAGGTAAGTGCTTATTATATTTTCTTCTATCAAGGACACCTTTCACCTTCGGTCAATTTCGTGAATCCCTGTTTGTTTATAACATATTGTGGCATGTGTAGCTTAAAGTTTAGAGTTTGTTCCGGTTAAGTTGTAACAAGGAAAGCTATTAGCACATTCGTTTTTGAATTTAAGTCACGTAACTGAAAACTATAATTGCGCTTAACTCACTGAACACTCCTTTGTGGTGTGGTGGAGGCTTTGGTTACCGAACAGTTAACACATTGCACCTTATATCTATAGGCCCGGGAGGGGCTCGGGTTCATGCCTTGACAGAATTTCAGCGAGGGACTGAGAGAGCAACTTACCATCGTTCGCTGGAAAACGTCACTCTGCAAAAAGCGTGTTAACGAGCATGCAAACGCAATCTTGAGTGCCTGCCAAATTAGGATAATTAAGTGCGTGGTGGAATAAACTACATGTGTATTCATTTCATTCGTTCTATGTAAGATTATTGTGTTCAGATTCGTGTGTAGATTTATTTATTTACTTCTAGTATATATTTACTTTGCTATCCATTGGTAACTAACAATGGTGAAAGGAGTTTGGCACTACCCCTCGGTCTAACCTGAGAACTTAACATCTGTAACCAACAGACAAGTATCCAGAAAGAACGACAGAAAGAAAGAAAGAAACTTTTCCTTTTTCTTGTTAGCCAACTCGTGCATTTTCTATTTAAACAAAACCAGTCACAGGATACTGGCGAAACGTGACAGTAAATTTCAATGACAATACGTTAATAACAAGAATCGCCGAAAGGCGATTTTTAACTGGGCTGCAAAGGGGCTATTTTTTTCTGAGGGAAGGGGGCGGCTATCACTGACGCTCAGGCGACCACAAAACCTTGTCGCCGACCATTGCGTGAGACAGAATCTCATGTGAGACTGAAACATAAACTCATTCAGAACATTGTACCCTTTTGAAAAAAGTTAAGTTAGCCATTAATTCTAAGCAGGAAACGATTTGCATTATTTTCACGCACCCCTCCGCCAATCCCTCTGAGCCCCCAAATATAGCGTGACAGTATAACGTGACCAATTTGACGTAACCGGAAATTCAAAAAATTATTGTCGTTCTACGAGTATAAAATGCGACAGACTGAGCTGATTTACACTATTAGACAGAAAGATTGTATTGTATGAAAACCAGAAGTTTACTAAAACAGACAGCCAACTGTCCATTGAGGAGCCTAGACTGCGAGCAGTCCCTCCCTAAGCTCGGCAGGACTGGAGAGAGCCACTTTCACAATTGCGTTTTTCGCTGCCGTCAATTATAATTACGATCACAAGCAACGAAATCCACCAATCACCAATCACAAACCATGACCTTTTGAACCTGTGAAGTAAACTTGAGTTTCCTCAGAGGTCCGTTAAGATGATTGACAGCAGCAAAAAACGCAATCGTCGGTTGGCTTTTGAACTTTAGAATTCGCATGTTTGTGAAACGTGTAGTAAATAGACGATCCTAATTTGCGGATGAAAACGCACTATGTTTTCCACAAGATAAAAAATATTCACTTTTAAGACTTTCCTCTTGGTATTTTTCTTAAAGGAATAAAATCCTTTGCATTTTGTGACCTAAAAAAGCTTAAAGATTTCTCGCTCGCAAGTTCATGTTTCTCAGCACGCACTTCAAACAATGTAAATAGATGAAACGATCGATAACATATTTTTTACCTAATACCGATATGAGTTAAAAATTCGCTCGAGTCCACTGTTTGTGTTACCCATGACTAATTTTTCTTCATGGAAGAAAACTATGCCGCTTTATAACTCCTCCGCCAGCTAAACAATATGGAAACACTATTTACAGTCCTTGGATATTAAAAAGACTGAACGTGACGCACTTTTGTGCCTTTGTTTACTTCTGATCACATCTTCAAGCGAAGGCTCTCTTTTCAAGCGATTCATCTCAAAGCACAATTATATAATTGGCCCTTATATTAATTAAAACCCTATGGTTCATTCATATTAATGCTGTTTTTGCCCCTCACATTGACTGTGTTCGTTCGTATTCAAAACACCATTAGGAAAATAAAGGTCGTATAAGTCATGTGTATTATGTTTTGAGATAAAAGGATTATACGCTTTTTTAAGTTTCCATTTTGCGGTGACTTCAGTTTACATCCCCATAAAATGGTAGAGGAAATATCAAGAAACATCACGAGAGCTGAAAATTTTCGAAGGCGTGTTTTCTGAAACTCGCTAATGCTAGCTGACGCTTGCTGAATGGGCGAAAAGACAGAGTTGTGAAAACAAGATCATGTACAAATTTTTAAAACGATAAAAGCTTAGCAAGATACAGATACAAACAAAAGCAAACCCCCTGAAACCTCGACCTGGGCTACACTTGTATGCTCTACTCAGTCAATAAGCCTTGTCAGTAATATCCCCCATTTTCCTCAAGTTGGTCTTTGTGAAGCTCCCGGTGGATGTCCCGGTGAAGGTTTGAACTTGTGTGCGAAATTCTCAAAGTTCATATTTTTGTCCGTGCCTTCTTTATCCCCAGTATACGAAATTTAGACCTCCAAAGTGGCTTGTGTTGCATTATAAATAGAAGGAAATATTAAAAGGAAAAGCCAGTCTTTTAATATGGCAAAGTTGTCAAGTCCCTCGCTCGTGGACGTTCATTTCTTAACATCAGGATTCATCTGACATTCGTCGGCAACTGAGTTGTTCGCTTCAGTGAGTGCGACAGCTTACATTCAAGTCTTCAACCACAGTGTCGTCAACTGGTGAAATACTTTGTTCATAAATTGTGCTTATTAATTGCTCATGTACTACATCGATCGATAATTCTCTCTTTGAGTTCACGAAGCGGCCCTGGCGTTCCAAACCTGACGCTCACAGTCATCTTTTAGTATGAACCTACCGTGAACGGCGTGTGGGTTTGTATGCAACGTGAGCATTTCTCTGAGTTTCCCAGCGCCAACATCATCAACTGCCTTAAACTCGAACAATGACAAAACTTATAAAGTGTCCCCTATGATCGAATCGCTTCGAACAACGCAAATAGCTTTCTTCAGGTTCGCAACGCCTTCTAGGTTTCCCAAGGGGGGCGGAGACGAGGTACAAAAAGTATTCGTGCAAGAGTCCGTGCAAGAGAAAGTCATATTAAACACCTTGTGAGAACATCGTTTCTCGGTACCAGACCCTCGTGTCTTCCCTCCCCCGGGAGGCCGTTTTCCTGCACAGACGACCGAAAACCGAATTTATGACTGGGCTTGCAGGGCAGCCCAGTAACTAAAACCGCCACCATTTTAGTTTTCGTGCAGCATTGTTTATTGCACTTTCACCTCTTTTCTTTTCTCGGTCTTGTGTTCAATTTAGGAAAAGGAAGTTCACATAGTAGTAGTTGGTATTGGCGACGATATAAGCACAAACATTCTTAAACTGATAGCAGGAGAAAACGGACATGCGTTGAATGTCGCTAGCTTCCATAAACTGCAAGAAGAAATTGACGGAATCAAATCATCTGTTTGTTCAGGTACTTTGTCTTTTAATTATGGTGTCAAGGAAACAAGTTGTTTACAATCTCGACTATCTGTTCGGCTCAGTTTGAGGGTGTGAATGGGGTTAACCGACTAACGACAAAAGGCGAAAAATATAACTGACTACCGACAAAACGAGTAAAAAATTACCGAATAGCGACAGGAAAAATCTTCACCGACTACCGACACGGGCTGACACTATCAGAATTTGTTTTCAGAAAAGTGACCATTTTGCATTGTTTTCTAGCCGTTAGGAAGTAATCTCTTTAAATTTATGACTCATCAGATGGTCTAACAGAAAGAACTTCCTCTTTTGTTAATACGGGTACATTACTACAACCAATATCATAATCACAGAAGCCACACTTTAAAGATGCTACCGACTTTATAAATGTTATTGAAAAAGACAAAGGTGAAAAAACTGAACGTTTCTTGTTTCGGTCCGAGAAATTCTTATAGAGTAATCCTCAAATAAAATTCTTTCCAGTTTAATGGAAACACTATCAGTAAAAAACCACGGTACCGAGATGAGCACAAACAGCAGTTTCCTTTCCAACATTTTCATGGCCGCATATAACCTGCGAACAAAATCTCCTTCGATCTTCCTAGATAAGTCGGGAAGAGGAAGGAACCTCTGCCGACATCCTCGACAATTCATATTGAGCATGCTCCAAATTCAAAGTTTTCTGCGACGTCAATCAAACCGTTACCGTAGCATCCACTGTGTTTGTCAGCACATGTAAATGTTAGCGGGAACGTACCGGTTCGTTTTCACCCTTCCGTAGCTGTGTTTCCTCTGGATTTGGAATCTAAACTTGCCATGTTTCAGTGTAAAGAAGTGAAAAAATTCTTACAGCTAAGGTAAAACTTACGGTGCTTTTCAAAAACAAAGCATCTAACCTTGAAACACAGAAACACACAAAACGGATCGAAATCCAGCAATCACAAATCACACACTACGACCTTTTGTTTCCTAAGAGGTTCGCTAAGATGTAAAGGCGAGAAAACGAAGAAAGCGTCGCTTGATTGACGTCGTAGAAAAACACAAAATCCAAAGACGTTTTTGGCATCGCAGGTCGGGTGTTATTCACAAACAGCTGTAAAAGCCTCGATCATTTAAATACAACATGGATTCTGTGGCCTCACGATCTTATTTTGAATTAATGTCATTCCAAACACAAAAGAATAAGCATAGATATTGTTTTTTAAATATTTTTATTCAAAACCCATTTGTTTATCCTTCCAAGAACTTCGCGTAACACTTACGGGATTGTGGATCCGTTCACGTAAGTAAAATTGGCTAAGTACATGGTTAAATCCAAAACAAAATCCATCTCCAATCTGGGTACATTTTCCAATTTTTCTAAAACTGAACGTTCGATCTATAATTTTCTCAAAATTACTGCATTAAATATTTGTTTTGTTATGGAGCGTGGGCGCAGAAAGAATCAGAAAAACTCCCGAATATGCGTGCGTGCACAGACAAAACTGGTTTATCCAGTATAAAACTTGTCTGACTTATCCAAAAAGCTGGATGATCGGCAGATCAAAGGAACTTGAAGATGCCGGCAGAGTCGCTTCCTCTTTCCCGACTTATCTAGGAAAGATCGAGATTACTTCACCCTACTGCTCTACTGGCTGTGAATTTTACGACCGAATTATCTGACACTGAGACAATCGTTTTAGACCCGGTTGGATACTAAGGCACAACATTCAAAGAAAAATGAGAAAAAGCTATATCATTGACGTAAACGTAAAGACGCATTTTAAAAGGAAACCATTCAGTATATACATTTTCACCTCTTATCATCCACCAATTGTTAAAATGGATTTGGCAAACAAGAAGCCTTGAGAATCCTACGAACAAACTCCTCCATGGAAGTATTCAGATTTCAAAAAGCGGTTGATGGACAGAGGCTGCCCACACAATTTTGAAAGAAAAATTGCTATTAGAAGTAAAACTCACAAAAGGAAAGCAGCGCTCCTGAAACAAAACAACAAGGAAGAAAAAGAAATATTGCCTTTCGTGACACAATACAAGCCCTTAGTGTCTATTATAAAAGAAGCTTTAATGACAAAGTGTAATCTCATACAAAACCAACCACTACCTCGCCAAAGTTTTGAAGCACCACTTAACCCTCGGACGTACACGCAAAATCATGCCTCCTACCATGGTACAAGAGGAGGGTAGATGGAACCCCTTCCCAGAGTTTTTGATATGTTGCAGTATTTCGAAGCGATTTTGCCTTCACTGAAAAGCCTTTGACCTTCTTAACAAGATGAGGTATATTTTATGAATGGTGGCGTTGCTGGAGGCCTGTGACGTCACCAACAATGGTCGCCATCTTGACCTTCATCTTGGATTTTAACAAGAATTAGAAATCAGGTTATAGCTTACAACAGCGAGAAATGGTAATTGCTTGACATGAATAATAACACATAAATAAGCACTTTGCATGATTTTAGCCACAAGATTTACTTTTACTGTTGAAAAAAGTTGGAAAAAAAAACATATATTTTCTCTCAAAATGGCTTGACCACCTGCTACTTATTACGTCATACCTCGTAACCATAGAAACTGATCATCACTGAACTTGTCTCAAAATGCGTGCGAGGGATAAACGACCATCTACTGAAAACGTCAGGTGCTGATGTTTGATCCTCTTGGAAAAACCCCAGAAAAACCTAAGGAGGGTGGCATACACCCCCCCACCCCCACCCCTTGTACATCCGAGGGTTAAAGTGTTATTTCTTTGAGAAAGGAAAATATGGCAAAGGACATGCTTGTTAGAGCCAAAACATTAAAGGTATAGATGTACAGCCTGTCACCCCTTGCAGTTTTTCCCTAAGAATAATTTAAGTATCCAAAAGGCTGGAGTCTATTAATTAATTAATTACTTTTTACTGTGCCCTGTAGTCGACAGGGAAACCAAGTTCGCATTTACCACAAAAGGTTTGGTGATTTTATCAGTACTCATGATATTCATTTGGCAAACAATGGTGAAATAAACGATCATGTTGCATAAACAGACAAGAGTTAATGATGTTTACGTGTAATCAAATGATACATTGATACAAGTTTTAAACTTTCCTTAGGGATCAAAGTCTTGAAACTGGGTGAAGTACATAAAAAATATTAATAATTAACAAGCGTTTTTACTTATCACAAACGATTTTTTGAAACATAAGCAAGCGAATATTAACGTTAAAAGCCGACGTTTCGGTATCATCATGACACTATTCTCAAGGCAAAATGAATAAATAATACGAAGTTTTGATTTCTATAGTCTCTACAGATTAGCATAATAAGAAAGGATCACAAGTTCTTCAAGTGAATACCTTTGCGCGAATCGAGTCCGCCTGCACGTTTAGGGATGGTTTGAGTTTCCTTATAAAGAGCATCTCCTTAATTAGGCAATCAAATTTGTTAGAATCTTTAGAGAGCACGTGAAATTGTTCTGAAAGAAAAGGTGGTACGTCCGAGTTATGTTCGCTAAGATAATGTTTATTAATGTTTTTTTAAGTTGACAACGATTTCTGTTTAATTTGTGTCCATCAACGCGGTCGTGGAGGTGGCCGCGAGTATAACCAACATATCCTGCATCGCACAGGTTACATCGAAATTGATAAACTAAACATTGTTGGTTAACAATGGCTGGCTTGACTTCTCGAAATTTAAGGTCTTCGTTGAGTTTTCTGCTGATGAACACGAGCTGAATAGTGGTCTTGATTTTTAAGGTGAGGTCTGTGAGACGTTTTTTCACTATATTAGCAGAGACCTGATCTTTAAATGGTATGACAACTCGGATTACAAGGTAGCAGACCAGCAGCAAATTCCATCAATGGACACGACTCCAACCCCCATCCGAGGTATTCACTTGAAGAACTTGTGATCCTTTGTTCTTATGCTAATTTGTAGACTATAGAAATCAAATGTTCGCATTATTTATTCATTTTGCCTTGAGAATGGTGTCAGGATGATACCGAAACGTCCGCTTTTAACGTTAATATTCGTTTTTACTTATTAACTGAGATTTTCCAAAAATCAAAAAGTTTAACCGACTACCGACAAAGATCGAAAATTTTAACCGACTACCGACAAAGTAACTGAATTTTAACCGACAACCGACAAATGGCCCCCCCCCCCCCCATTCATACCCTCCAGTCTCGACAGTCTTTTCTCTTTCTTCTCTTTACTTTGATCGTCTTTGTGATATAAATCAAAGGAGATGTGGCTAAAAATCAAGTAGGCTTTTACCAGGATTTCTGATATACAATGACATTCTACCTGATCCGCTTCTCTCAACAGTATATGACTTCTTTATATAGTAGTACTGTTTTAAGAATAAGACCAAAATCGAAAGATCTGACACATGCGCAATTATACAATATGTACCTAGGGAAAAAGCACTAGGGATAAGCCGGCTTTGAAATTTTACCAGAATCTGACGACTATCTTAAAATTACAGAAATAATAAATTATTGATAAAAAAATAAGCTCAGAGAGATCTCTGATTTGTTTATATAACGCCTTTCTTCTGTCTTGGGGTGGATTTCTACTGTCGCGTGCGTACGGGAGTAAAATTTACGTGCGTAAGTTTTGAAATAGGGGCAGTGTATGATAGGCCACGGTGAACTTAAACTTTTACTCGCAACACTTCATACATTGCCCCTATTTTATTGACGCGTGTAACATTTTCGTGTGTACAATTTCGTTCTAGCTTCCTCCCATCAGCTCGAGCGGAAACGCTTGCTACGTCGGCTAACATCTATATGCATTTCTATAATTTGCAGATTAACACGCCACTGCAAGCTACCGGGACGTCGTTAACCAAAACGTGGCCTGATTTGTGGAAGATCCGAAGGACTCGGTTTATATACTATTCAGAAAGCCGTAGTTTGGTTGTTGTTTAGTTCAGGAAGTTAATTCCCAACGTGGGTAGTTCATAGTATCTTGTTGCGATCTTCTTCATCTGAATTACTGAGGATGGAATTCCACTGTCGCGTATTTCTTACATGGGTAAATGAAATAGAGGCAACATGTATACGCGTAAACGTTAAAGTTGAAACTCCCTCAACTTTCACGTTTACGACACTTTACACATTTCCATTTTATTTACCCGCATAAACTTTACTTGCGTACGCATATAAAGCTTAAGCGACACTGGAAATCCACCCTCACAATGGTTACCTACGCAAACTGTTACTGTTGGGTTTTGCTGTCTGGACATTTATAGAAACGAATGAGGATACCGGTATTGGCAATGTATAAAAACTGTGTGGTGATATTCCCGTATTCTATCCGTATTTAGTCTCTAAACGTCAAATTACCACACTGTTTGATTGAGTTTCATGTGATGCTCCTTTTATGTTTTTATCTTGGTCTGTCAGGTTGTAGTGTTAGACTGGTTTAAAACTTTATCTACAATAGGAAATTGTTTTTTTCACTCTTATTACTGTGATTAATAAAATAATAATAATGATAATGATAATTAAACATTTTACTTGTCCTACAAAAAATGTGGTCTTATGTTGTTCACTTAAGTCTTTCTGATCCATCAGGATATTTGCTGCAAACTTAGTGTTAGGAAAAATTTCCAAGGCACAAGAATCAGTATGAATATCCCATTTTTCCGGTCCCCGTACCCAAACATTCTGACAAGGTTTCAGCAGGAGCCAGAAACGGGGTACGAGACCGCAAGCTCGGGGTCTACGCGGTCCCATCGAAATAGCCAAATGTGATATTTTTAGATCAAACTGCGCCACCCTCAACGTTCCAATCTCGCGAGGGGAACCCCGCGAATTTGCGCAGCTATCGTGTGGAATTTCAGGAGATGGGCGATTGTTTTGCAACTTTGTTTGGGTGCTCTCTGAGCTTCTCTGAACCTTCCATTTGCTTCATATCTCAATAGGCAATCCATGCACAGTGTAAGAATGAGCCAATATTATATTTAACATTACTAGAAATACGCGTTTATCGCAAAAATGTCGCGAAGCTTTTAAAGGGAAACCAGCCCTTGGGGAAAATACCTTATGATTAAAAACAAAAAAAAACAAAACAAAACAAAACGAAACGAAACGAAGCAAATTTATACAACAAAGAAAACCATCTGCTAGGAAGATTGGCTCCTAGACCACGTTGCCACGCTACCAAAGCGTTAAGTGGGAAAATTGGTAAACACTGTTTGAAACTGGTAGAGCTGTATTTATCATAAATTCAAAGATATATTTGAGGAATATTCACCATAATCATTATTTGTTGTTGTTTTTAACTTTCCTCCCTCCTTTTCGCCGCAAGTTTTTTTTCGTCCGAACGAGATATTCATCGCACGACATCTCTTCTTCACTGGATTTGCCAAAACCCTCGCACTACGGTGATTAACATAAGCAGAATCAGAATGAGAGTCCTCATATTTAGAGTTATTGTCAAAAGGGTTCTCCTCAAGGTCTTCCCTCAAATTCAGAGGAGGCAATGATGACTTTAATGGAATTTATTCATCTCGATCTAACGGAGGTAATTTCCGACGTCACTTTGGTTGTTTATGCGCGCGTGTCACACGAGATGGCACAATTTGTCATAAAAATAGCACATTTGCATTGGCAATTTATGGAACCAACCCCATAACTTGAAAAGGTATCCAGCCACGATCTCCTTCCTCGATTATGGCTCCTGATTTTAAGTAAAAGGGACAGTAGAGGAAACCAGCGCTCTAAATAATTTTTCACGGATGATATATCCATAAACTGATCAACAACAAACATCTTAACGAAATGTATGTATCGGCAATAAGTGCATCTAGCTTAGTCACTCAAGACATAAGGCAAAACATGTGGATGTCTCAAGACAAGTTTCTTATGAAAAATGCTAAAAATGAACTTGATTGTCTTTCATTGTCGGCACCCGTCAACAAGTCAGTGTCGTGTCAGTGTCAGTGTCTTGGACGCTTTATCATTGCCCCACAATCTCCCTTTCTAACCTACAGATGGGTGACTACAATGCGAAGACAAGCTCTGTTGCGTTCTGATACAGTCGAAACTCCATGTGCAGCGACCACGTCATCTTAAGCGACAACTTCCAATAAGCGATCACCTATCCAAAAATTCAAAACTTTCCTGGGCAAATCACTACAATTTGCACCTGTCGTAAACGACCACCTCACCATATATGGTCAATGGTCGCCATCTTGACCTCCATCTTGGATTTTAACAAGAATTAGAAATCAGGTTATAGCTTACAACAGCGAGAAATGGTAATTGCTTGACATGAATAATAACACATAAATAAGCACTTTGCATGATTTTAGCCACAAGATTTACTTTTACTGTTGAAAAAAGTTGGAAAAAAAAACATATATTTTCTCTCAAAATGGCTTGACCACCTGCTACTTATTACGTCATACCTCGTAACCATAGAAACTGATCATCACTGAACTTGTCTCAAAATGCGTGCGAGGGATAAACGACCATCTACTGAAAACGTCAGGTGCTGATGTTTGATCCTCTTGGAAAAACCCCAGAAAAACCTAAGGAGGGTGGCATACACCCCCCCACCCCCACCCCTTGTACATCCGAGGGTTAAAGTGTTATTTCTTTGAGAAAGGAAAATATGGCAAAGGACATGCTTGTTAGAGCCAAAACATTAAAGGTATAGATGTACAGCCTGTCACCCCTTGCAGTTTTTCCCTAAGAATAATTTAAGTATCCAAAAGGCTGGAGTCTATTAATTAATTAATTACTTTTTACTGTGCCCTGTAGTCGACAGGGAAACCAAGTTCGCATTTACCACAAAAGGTTTGGTGATTTTATCAGTACTCATGATATTCATTTGGCAAACAATGGTGAAATAAACGATCATGTTGCATAAACAGACAAGAGTTAATGATGTTTACGTGTAATCAAATGATACATTGATACAAGTTTTAAACTTTCCTTAGGGATCAAAGTCTTGAAACTGGGTGAAGTACATAAAAAATATTAACAATTAACAAGCGTTTTTACTTATCACAAACGATTTTTTGAAACATAAGCAAGCGAATATTAACGTTAAAAGCCGACGTTTCGGCATCATCATGACACCATTCTCAAGGCAAAATGATTAAATAATACGAAGTTTTGATTTCTATAGTCTCTACAGATTAGCATAATAAGAAAGGATCACAAGTTCTTCAAGTGAATACCTTTGCGCGAATCGAGTCCGCCTGCACGTTTAGGGATGGTTTGAGTTTCCTCATTGTCATTCATTCCATTTCCATTTTCCAGTGTCTTTCATTGTCGGCACCCGTCAACAAGTCAGTGCCGTGTCAGTGTCAGTGTCTTGGACGCTTTATCATTGCCCCACAATCTCCCTTTCTAACCTACAGATGGGTGACTACAATGCGAAGACAAGCTCTGTTGCGTTCTGATACAGTCGAAACTCCATGTGCAGCGACCACGTCATCTTAAGCGACAACTTCCAATAAGCGATCACCTATCCAAAAATTCAAAACTTTCCTGGGCAAATCACTACAATTTGTACCTGTCGTAAACGACCACCTCACCATATATGGTCATGATGAGAGGTCATCTAAAAATATGATTGACTAAGCGAGTACCACGTGTCCAATGACGTAATATAATCCAAGTCACACAACACAAAACGGTAAAACCGGAAATGTGTCACCCAACATCGGTTGCCCTGGGTACAAACGGGGACGTTGGACCTTCATTCCCCGCGTGTCTAAGGCGATGAGTTGCTCAACAACGCGTTGTAAAACACTTGCGTGTTAATGTCGTCCATGGTGATCCCGTGCTGGAGACCGCTGCAGTGGGGGTTGGTTGGGACGTGTCCACTCGGCCATAGGACAGTAGAGGCGTTCAGCGAGTTCGGTCATGAGGGGCCATGGGTGGGCGTGTTGCAGCTTGATGACCATGTGACAAATGTCGACAACAACAACAACAATCTTTATTGTGCTCTTGATACAAAACGTGTTAAGACATACGAAGGAAAAAATTGTGAAAAAAAAGAGAGCACAGCCACTCAGAAATAGCAAGAGCCAATCGCGCTGAGTGGCTGGGCCAAGAGGAAAAGTAACTAGATATCAAAGTTGTTATAAATAAACAAATGCACACAAAGACACACAAAGAAGAAATATATAAGCTGTAATAAATAAGCAAATACACAAACAAATAAACAAAGAAGCAAGACAAAACAACGGCTGTGCACACAATTAGCTGCACATAAAGTACACCAATCAATATTTGGAGATGACGATTGCAGACTGTGCTGCAGGGAGGGAGAAAACAGCCAACCTAGAGGGAATAAATGATCCTGCATTCATTATCCTCTTTGTAGGCATGCTGGTCTTGGAAGCAATAACAATTCGGCTCTGTGACATGAACTGTTACCCCATACCCCCCATGGGTACAACCCTCGTGAAAACACAACAAGTGGTCCACGTCCCACCCTCCACGCACTTGTGAACTGGAAGGAAAAAGCCGAAGGCGAAAATGGCTCGTGCGATGGTGCGATGAATGTACGTTCTGACCGTGGGATTTTGTAGACTCTTGCCGAGACGTGTCATGGCCTTAAGCATTTGGGGGAAGGCGAACTCGAGTTTTTCTTTGGTCAAGGGCGTCATCGTGGCTCGCGAGGATGCCCCAGAGGAATGACCACATCCACTTCCATGATTTGCCATATCGTTGAGTCAGCTCTCCTGCCTCGGCGTCCGCGCTGGAGACAACATGTGCACTTGCATGGGTTCTACGGGAATGTCTGCTTTGGGCAGCTCGAGAGGAAGCGAAGGCGATCTACTAGGCACTCCTATCATGGTGAAGAGAAGGAAAGCAAATGGAACACACAAAGAGACGTCCTCTTTTTCATGATGGAGAAGTCTAAACCCACATACTGTTCAGCCATGGGTCGTTGTTGGTTAATATGCGTGGAAACCAATCAGAACGATGGTCGCTTCCAGGTCGTCACTGTCCAGGCATTTCTGGAATGGATGATCTGTCTGCGCAACGCCGAACCGGAAGGCAAACCCAAATTGATCCTCCTCTTGTACAATTTTCAGGGCTTCAACGGCTACTTCGTCCTCAACCAGTTGTACCGCAAAGACATGAGCCCTCAACAGATCGTCAATAGGGCCATGAAAACTCCTGTGTTTGGAATTGACCGAGCTCAAAATCAAATTCATCGACAGCTTGAACCTTTCCCATGCCCTTGGCAGACTTCCTCAATGCCTTTTGTTTGCAGGAGGAGGCAAAAGGTTTATTCCCCACTTTCTCGACAGACCCGAACACCAAACGTATGTGGGGCCTTTGCCCAACAAGCATTATTACGACCCAGACGGCAGGAGCCAAAAACGTCGCGACGCCTTTAGCCGGTGGTATGACAGTTATCACCCTCAAGCATCCTGCATCCCCAAGCAGATGCAATTTTGCAAGCAAGGACAAACTTACAAAAAAGAAGGACCAGATCCTCATAAAGGATCTAATCAGCTATATTTGGAAAAATAGAACAAAAAAGCAAGGCTGATTTTACAATCGGGAATATATATTTCATTTACCAATATTTCGGAAGGCACGGCCTTCCTTCTTCAGGGTCTTATGTAAGAGCCTGAAAAAGGAAGACAGTGCCTTCCGCAATATGTAAAAGAAATATATATATTCTCAACTGAAAAATCAGCCTTGCTGTTTTTGTTCTATATCCTCAAGCAGGCCATACAGAAAGTCGAGGACGATTTCTGAACGAAGTACGGATTGGACACCTTCGAAAAAACATCACCATCACCTCCTACTCCTCTTTCGCCTGTTTCTGACACCAAACACCATCGCCCTCGAATTCCTCTGCACTGTCGGGCCCTCTGCATTAACCAAAATCGTGTGGCCATAGAATGGCTCATCACACAAGGCATCAGCTAAGCACCACCGCCGACGGGCAGCGCCGGTTACGCCACGGTCGCAACAGACACGGTGAAGTGCCTCTAAAACTCGGTCCAGCCCAGACCATTCACGTTAACGGCTACGACGCCTCAACCCACACCGTCTGAGAATTTTACGGTTGGTGCCCAACATGTTATCCGCGACGCCTTAAAACCCATCGCAAACTCAACCATGGCACACCCTATGATCTTTGGGTCCAAACCCAGGCGCGGTGAAGACCGACTACCAACTCGTCATTCAATGGGAATGTCATTGGCGGCGGCACAAGTCCTTAAAACATGGGCCGACTCAACCCAAATCCTCGAGCTGGCCTTCTCTGTATCCTCCCGAAAATTCACGAACATGGAAACCCAGGTCGCCTAATCATCTTTAACAATGGCTCCCCCACTGAATGCATTTCTGCATTCATTGATTATCACCTGAATCCTCTGGTACAGCCTCTTCCGTCCTACATCAAAGACACGACCCACTTCCTTCACAAACTCCAGCAACTTGCTCCAATCCCCAGCAATGCTATCCTCCTTACGCTTGATGTTTCATCATTAGATACAAACATACAACATAACACATTACAACCAATTTAGTGTTTTCAAGAGATTAAAAAGTCTTCTCATTAGAAACGTTATGTTGCGTTTATACAAGGCGTTTATGCTATCGCGCTGTCATTATTGTTCGCTTATATGGCACTTTTGTAGCGCGAGAAATCGTGATAAACTAGAGCTTTTGAATAAACGCATTTTTAGATTTATAACAACCATCTCCCAGCATTTCAAAATGCAAACATCTGCGCCCCTTACATGTCAGTTTTTACCGCAAGGCCAAAACCAATTACATCTTCACTTACACCAAAGGAAGACGACATATACATGACCCCTTAAACTGTAAACGCTTTGGGGTCCTTAACTATGGTCATCTTATTATTTCTACTTCTGTCTCTGAACATTTTAATCACGCCGATCACTCTATCAACGACGTCCTTCTTGTTTCCTTAGAACTAATCCGTAGCCACCGTGACCCATTTAGAGGCTCACCTCATCGACAAAGCAATGACATTAGAACCCCGTTGTATAAATAGAAGTGATGAACTCAACTGGGAACAGTTATCTTTTTAGTAGTCTGTTATTCTCTGTTTGCTATGTATTCAAATCTCGTAAACGTAACGTTCATCTTTTATCTGTATTCATTTTTTTGTATTAAAGAAAGTACCGGTCCAGAACTACTAAAGATACGGCTGACCCTCACTGGTTTGTCGTTGTGGTTTTGTCTTTACAAGTGTTTCCAACTCCCTCAAAGTCCTCACCCGCCTCGATGCCAGGGAAACGTTTTCGGTGGTCGAACAGAGTCCATACGCACCAATCACGAGGGGGAAGAGATTCACTAAGATGAGACCGTACTCCATTAGTCACCCGCAAATCGAGACCGAGTACAAGGCCTCCACCTCGGAGAGGCCCAAGTCGTCCTCATGACGTTCGGTCTGATCCAGCCCCTCGTGTTAGCCCTTCGATCGAGCTCTCTATCATCCCGGTGTTACCGATGTGCAAAGCCCAAAAACTGCTGTCCATTCTCTGCCTTCGGTGTGCAGAGAAACAACAGGCTCGGGGTATGAGCGCAGCTGCAAGTGTCCCCATTCCGATGAAGCACGCGCCTTTGATGGCACGTGGTGGAGCGAGGAGCTCAAGGTGTTGTTGGAACAAGGTTACCGGGTGCTGTACACCTTCCAGACCTGGGACTTTGAACTTATCCATCAACAAGGCCATCGAAGGCAAAATAGAATGGGACGGTTGGTCTCCACCGAAGTAGCAGCGAATCCCGAGCCACCCACCTCCGCGAGTACCTCCACCCTAAGGGGCTGGTCCTGGACCCCGCCCGTGTTTAGAAAAGCCTGGTCGGCAGACCTTGTGCAAACTCATGGCCAACAAGACGCAGGTCACGACCTGTAAAGAGGTAGAGCGGTTTTCGAAGTCTACGAAGACGACACACAGATCATAAACCGCAACTCCCTGCTGGCGACGAAATGCTCGACGTGTAACACTGATACGCCGACGACGTGAGCGAACGGTCTAGCCGAACCATCATCCTCGTGGTCATTTCCACCCCGGCCGAAGCTCGCCTGCAACCCTAAAGACAGAAACTGTTGCCGTTACTAGACCATGATCTTGATATGGACACAGGTTCCGTCATCTACATCTATGGCACGGGTCAGTGCCCCTAACCACGTGGATCAATTCATTGTCGATTACCTTGGCCTGTTAAGTCACCCACATGAGGAAACAGTGTTACATGGTCCTCATCTCTCAAAGCAGTCGCAACAACGACGACATTAACTTCATCACCAAAAAGGCCTAGCTGCACGAAGAGCTGAACAACCCCGCCCCAGTGACCAGGACACTCAAAGTGCACATTCCACACAAAATCACCAGAAACGTCACCTCCAACTCTCCACTCCATTCTCCAGACCAAGGGACTGAAAAAGGTACCCGAAAAAACGCGTCATCGATATATCGTAAAAATGGCTATAGTTAACCCTATGGCTACGGCATACCCGTCCCCTGGACCCCTCGCGACGAGAACATGGTGGATCTCTTAACTAGCTTATAAATCAAGAGACGACTGTCCACCAAGGAGAACAGCCTGAATTTCCGACATCACTTCGAGTCGCTTATTCCCTCAGTGATACCTGAATCTATGAACCGTTAATGCTATCCAGTGACGACACTACCCTAAAACCGGGAAGTGATTGGTTGATTATCCAAACATTCGCATAATTATGTAAAATTAAGAGAAATTTTAGTAGGATTGTCGTTTGATATTCAGCGATTGGCAAGCTTGAGGGTCCGACGTTTCCTCATGCAACCTTGCAACCGATCAATAAAAACGTGTTCCGTGACACATCCCTGGTGTCACCTTTCCATTTTGTGACCTTCCTTACGTCATTGGGCACGTGGTACTCGCTTAGCCAATCAGATTTTTAGTTGACGTGTCATCATGACCATATATGGTTTCCCTATAGTGACGCATATTAGTGGTGACAGCGACCACTTATTTGGATGAAGGCTTTGGAATTTTCCATTGTTTCAATAATTCTCTTATTAGCGACCAAGCCCCAGTTGTTCAAAAGTTGGATAGCACTATTCACCAGATAAATCACTATCCAACGGATAAGTGCTACGGAAACCAATTGTGCTATCCAGTGCATAGTGATTTATCTGGTGGATAGCGTTATCCATCCTTTGAACAACTAGGGCCAGTTGAGGCGTAGTTTGAGCTCTACGTTTGCCGCGTGCACTCTACCTCTTTCCCCCTGTGGCTCGATTCTCTTAAGCGACCACCTTCCGTTTGCGACCGCATTTTGGGTGGTCGCTTTCGGGGTTTCGACTGTCCAGTATCAGAAATATTGAGACTTTAAATATCCTCGTCAATTCTTTTCTTCTACACTATGCGATTAGCGCCCGCTCCTCAGGATCCGAAAGCGTACTTTCAGTCATTTCGGAGAGAAATGACCAGACATGACAAAAAAACTACTTCAAATTGAGTAATTT